GGTCTTTAAGGCGCTGCTCAATCCGCCCTCCATTCCATGTCCAGGCATGCGACCAGGGACAGACCAGCTCCTGTTCCTGGCCCCAGCACTGTGTACCAGCCGACTCTGGACCACCCCTATGACACGGCCTTTGGATTCCTTCACAGAGACTTGGTGGCCACCTAAGAGGTAGGTGCTATTCGGGGCCACCTGCTACCAGAGAAGGTCTGCTTGTCTGGGAGCTATGGTGGGTGTTGGTGGTCGGTGCCATTGAGGTCTTTCTCCCACAGAGCCACTGGCTGGGTTTGAACCTGTCAGTTAGCAGCAGGCATTTAAACCATTACACCACCAGGAAGGAGCGGTGGACACACCTGATATTCTTTACCTCCCTGGGTTGGAGTCCAGGAGAGGCCAAATCAGGGTGGAGGGAGCCGCGGGGTCCAGTGACATCAGGCCACCCCAGGCTTGTCCTCTTCATCCCCACAGGCTTCATCCAACTCCAACCTCTTCAACCCAGCAAGGAGGTTCCGTACCTGGTCAGAAGGCCACCTACTGTTTTCCAGCCTCTCCCTTGCCCTCCCTGCTGACTTGCCCCTACAGACCAAAGGACTTCCTGATTCAGGAGAAGAGAGAAGGCCCATCGAGGCCTGTCCTGCCCAGGTAGCTGTCCTTCCCCAGCTGGGCTCGTCCAGGAAGTCCCACCTCTCCACTCCCAGCAGGAACATTTCTGTTTGTTTCTTTATAAGACTCTTGCTATATTAAAATGTTAAGAAATGGCAATACACAGTTGCAAAATTCTTGTTTTTAATAACTTGTTTTCTTTTGTTGTTATTGTTAGAATAGATACGACAAAATATACACCAATTCAACAATTTCTCCATGTACAAGTCAGTGCCATGGAGGACAGTCTTCAAGTTGTGCAACCATTCACACCCTCCTTTTCCAAATGGTTCTTCCCTCATGGACATAATAAACTCGCTGTCCTATCCAACCTTTTGAGTTGCTGTTGTCAATTTGGTCTCATTGAAGTCTTTAAAAGAGCACAGTGCTCAAGGCAGACATTCTTACTAATTAAGCCAAAGTATGTGGTTTAAAGAAAGCTTCAGGGGATAATTTTGGTTTAAGGTATAAAGACTATCTCAGGGCAATAGATTCAGGGTATGGATTCCATGAGAATTTGGAATTCTGTTCTGCATTTTCCCCCTTTTGATCAGGATTCTCTATAGAATCTTTGATCAAAACATTCAGTAATGGTAGCTGGGCACTATATACTTCTTCTGATCTCATGGCAAAGGAGGAAATTAGCCACATATTCCATATCCCCCTCCTTTTCTGATTTCTCTTTCCAGAATTGTGAATTCTTGATATAAATGAACATGCTTTGATTGGCCAGGATTCTATCTCATTGCCAACACTGGGTCCCTGGGATCAGTTGTAACAACTCATTTGGTGATAACATCAAAAGTCTAAATCAGGATTCCTCCAATCTCAGAACTGTTTTTTCTTTTTTTTATGGTGGTAAGAATATAAATTTGCCATTCCAACCTTTTTGACATGTACAATTTAGTGACATTATGTTCATCACAACCATCTAGTCCCAAACATTTCCATCATCCTTAACAGAAGCTCAGAGTCCTCTAAGCACTGATTACTTTTCCCCCTGACCCTCTCACACTGGTAACCACTAATCAACTTTGGTCTCTATACATGTCCTATTCTATTCATGAAAGTGGATCATACAATATGTGTCCTTTGTCACTGGCTGATTCCACTCAGCGTGATGTTTTCAAAGTTCATCCATATCACAACACATATCAGACCTTCATTTCTCTTTATGGTAGAATCATGTTCCATTGTATGATGGACCATATTGTGTTTATTCATCATCTATTGGTGGATATTTGGGCTGCTTCCATGACCTCAGCGCTCTTGACATTTGGGGCCAGATAATTCCTTGCTGTGAGGGTTGTCCCATGCACTGTAGGGTGCTGAGCACCTTCCCTGGTCTCCACTCACTCGATGGCAGTAGCTAACCCCTCTTCCCCAAGTCATGACAAACAAAAAAGTCACCAGATGTTGTCAAGTGCCCCCTAAGGAGGCAGGATTGCCCCCAGGTGAGAACCACTGGTCAAAATGTAGAACCACTGACAAAAGTGAGCCTAGAGCCACAACAATTGGTCTCTCTTTGCCGAGCAACGGAGCGGGAAGAAGAGCCAGGAACAGGACTAGGAAATGGAATGTGTGGCTAATTCCTTCTACAAGCAATGCCTCCTTTGTCCTGAGACCAGAACTGGGTGGTGTCCAGCTACCATTATTGAATGCTTTGATCAAAGATTCTATAGAAGAGTCTTCAGCAAAAAGGGGGGAAATGCAAAACAGAATTCCAAATTCTCATGGAATCCAGACTTTCTTGAGTCCTGGAGGCTGGATGAACCTCTGAAACCATCTGTGGTAGTTAAGTTTGTGTGTCAGCTGGGCTGGGCCTGGCTGAGTGGCTGGGCAGCTGGATGTAGTATTCCCCATGTGAGACTGGTAATCAGCTCCATGCTGGAATCTACTGTGAGCAGCTGAGTAGCTGCCTTAGGGATGTGGTCTGCTTCCTGTATATGAGGAGAAGTCTCAGGGAACAGTCCCTAGCTTATGGCACGAATGAACCCTGAATGTAGCCGAGTCACTGTTCAGCAAGCTGCTGTGCTCTGCTGATCTTGGGACTTTTAATGGACTTGAATTAATGGCCTGCTGTGTGGTTTGGTAACATCAGGACTGTGCCTTTTTACTTGTCCACCTTGGGCTTATCAGTCTCAGCAGCCAGCAGCTGTCCGAGTGAAGAAAAGCCTCTAGCTCCAGTGGGCTGGGAGCAAGAGGCAGAGTTGAAGCCCAAGGCTAGGGGGCTTTCACTCAGTCCCTAGAGCCTGGCACTTTGAACTCGGGCTTAACGCCTCCAAACTGTAAGAGAATAAATTCCTGTTTGTTCAAGCCATCCTATTTGTGGTATATTCCTATCAGAGTGGCACTAGGGAACCAGAACACCATCTGAAATCATCTTTAAACCTTTAATCTGAAATATGCCCTGAAGTCTTCTCAAACCAAATAGTTTAACTTAAGCAGTAAACAATGTCTGCCTTGAGCATCGTACTCATAAGAACTTTCTCCACGGGATCAAATTGACAAGAGCAACTTGAAAGATTAGCTGGGAACCTTAGAAGGCAGCACCTTTATGTTCATGGGAGAGGAACAGCTCGGAAAAGAGGGTGGGAACGTAGCACAACTTGAGGACAGTCATCCATGTCATTGAATGGTCCATGGAGAAACTGTTGAGCTGGTGTATGTTTTGCTGTGTGCATTTTATTCATAAATAAAAATGAATAAAATTTTAAACAGGCCAGAGCCACACGGCTACCTCCCATTCTCACCCCATGAAAGGCCCTGCTCTCGCACTGGGGTTCTTGGATGGGTGAGCCAGGGGGATGACTAGGATGCAGGGTGCTTCCTGGGCTGCCAGGGTGGGAGGCTGACCATGAAGGTGACCTCGCTTGAGGAGGAGGCACAGGAAGCCTTGGCCGGCCCCTGATAATAGTTGTAATTATTATTGCAATAACTGTGATAGCTACAGTTTTACCCTGTGTGGGCATAACTCTGGGATCAGTTGTAACAATTCATTTGATATTGACTCTGCTGTCTCAATGGGGCCTCCCAGCAGCCCTAGAGGGCGGACACCCTTTACCACGCCATCTCCCAGATGAGAGGACCTTATGGCATAGAGAGGCCAAGTGGCCTGGACAAGGTCACCTAAAGCTAGCTGACTCCAAGTAAGTGTCCCCATGTCTGTCAGAGTAATACCAGGCCCTACAGGGTTTTCCATGGATGATTTTTCTTTTTTTCTTTGTGAGTTGGGTGAAGGTTAACAGAGCAAATTCACTTTCCATACAGCAGTTCACATATGCTTTGTCTCATGACATTGACCACAATTTACCACAATGCAACAGCTCCCCTCCCACTTCCTCCCTATAGTTACCTCTTCCCAGTGTCCATCCCTCCATACACTCCTGCCCCCTGAGCTGTCTCCCTGTGCATAAGCAGCCCTTCTTTCTCCCATGATTGTTCTCTCCAAGGAGTCTACCTAGTGTAAATGTTCACCTCATATGCCTGTCTTTTGTTTGGCTGGAAGCCACAGGTGTGGGTTCAGTTCCAGACCTGAAGGGCAGCTAGGGGCCATAGTCTCAGTGGTTCTACCAGGCTCTATCAGACCAGCAAACCTGGTCATGGGAGAATAGAAGGGCTATGAATGCACAGGGACATAGCTCAGGGGACAGGAGTCCATGGAGGGAAGGACACAGGGAAGAGATTAACTATAGGGAGGAAGTGGGAGGGGAGCTGTTGCATTGTGGTAAATTGGAGTCAATGTCATGAGACAAAGTGTATGTGAACTGCTGTGTGGAAAGTGAATTTGCTCTGTTAACTTTCACCCAAATCACAATCCAAAAAAAAAAGATGGCTCCTTTCAAGCCCCCTCCAGTTGCCAAAACCAGTTGCCATTCAGTGGATTCTAACTCATGGTGACCTGAGCGTGCAGGATAGAGCCGCACTCTGCTGGGTTTTCAAGGATGTGCCCTCGTGGAAACAGAGCTTCAGGCATTTTGTTTTTCTTCCAAGGTGCCTCCAGGTAGGTTGGAAAAGCCAGCCTTCTCCAGCACTTAACCATGTGCGTCACTCCCAACTAATTAATAGAAGGGTGAGGGCGATTGAGGCCTGGAGAAATGGAGTGGGCAGTGAGGCAACAGACAGAGAAACTGAGTCAGGGCCTGGCGTGGAAGATGGGGGAAGGGCACGACCGCCTAGCTCCTGGTTTACCACGCATGCCCCTCACTCCTCAATTTCCGCGAAGCCGGGGTCCCCAGGCCTGAATGGGAGCAGGGTAGGAGGTGAGCAGATAGATCCCAGGGTGGGGACACCTGGCCCTGGCACGCTCGAGCCTGCACCACCCGAGATCTGGGCTCCGCTGCATAGGGTGAACCTTCCAGCCAGCGCCCTCCGTCCCGGGGCGGGACCAAGGGGCGGGGCAGCCCGTGACCGGCCAGTGACGCGGCCCCGCCCGTTCATATAGCGGCGCCCGGGGGCGCAGGGACAGTGCTTCGCCGCCGCAGCCGCCGCCGCCGCCGCCGCCACCACCGGCTCCGCCGCCGCAACCTCCAGCCTCAGAGCCACCGCCGCGTCCGCCACCAGCGCCACCAGCATGCGGGAGATCGTGCACCTGCAGGCCGGCCAGTGCGGCAACCAGATTGGAGCCAAGGTGCGCGGGGTCAGCGAGGGGGCGGCGAGCAGATCTCGAGGGTGGGGGGCCTGGAGCTCCCCAGAGCCCCCACCTTCAGGTCTTCAGGGAACTGGGTCCCCAGGAGGCCTGCACCCCAGGGACGGTGGGGGAGGGGCTGAGGCAGGGCCAGGCTGGGAACAAAGGGGCCGATGGGGGTGGGGCCAGCCTTCGGTTCGCCTGCCACAACTGGCCTCACAGCTGGCCAGCTGTCCCCTCCACGCGCACAAAGAGACCCCACCCCTCCCCCGGGCTGCAGCCGGGCGCGCTGACACCAGCCGGCTCCAGTGACTTGGTGACTGGCCTCACCCCACCCCCAACTCCACCTTCTTGCTGCCTCATCCTTTGCGGGTCACCATGCCTCCTGGCCTCCCAGTTACCTCTCTGAGGGAGAGGGGACAGGTCGAGAGGTGCATGGAGGTCCTGGGCCCACAAGATGGAGGCCGCCCCCTCCTCCCAATACTGACCACCACCCGCCTCTTTAGTTTTGGGAGGTGATCAGTGATGAACATGGCATTGATCCCACGGGCACATACCATGGGGACAGTGACCTGCAGCTGGAGAGGATCAACGTGTACTACAATGAGGCCACAGGTAGGGCAAGGAGAGGGACCTGCAGTGTGGGGGCGGGGCGGGAGGGGACCAGAGCTCCCAGCAGCTCTGGCTCCTGGGCACCCCCCACCCCCACCTTCCATCTGCTTCTCTGCAGGAGGGAATTATGTCCCCAGAGCTGTGCTGGTGGACCTGGAACCCGGCACTATGGATTCTGTCCGCTCCGGCCCCTTCGGCCAGATCTTTCGGCCGGACAACTTTGTGTTTGGTGAGTCCCCAGCTGTGAGCACCAGCAGGGAAGCCCCCTGGCTCCTTCCCCTTCCAAATGCTTAGTGCAAACCATAGGTGGCGCAAGCCATTTGCAATTGGCTGCTAACTGAAAGGTTGACAGTTCAAACCCACCTAGCCTGGCCATGGAAGAAAGGCCTGGTCACCTGCTTTGGTAAAGATTACAGACAAGGAAACCCTATGGAGTTTACTTCTACCCTGGGGTCACCATGAATCAGAATCAACCCAACAGCAAAGAGTAAACTCTGGTGACTGGGGTTCTCACTGTTGTAGGAGATGGGCAAGACAATCAGGGTTGGGATGAGGATACACCTGGGGTTTCAGGAAGGCTTCCCGGAGGAGGTGACTTTTATTTTTCAAATGAATTGCTCACTCCCTTTCTCTCTCTTTTTTAATTGTGGTGAAAATACACACAACAAAACATGACCGATTCAGCAATTCTTTGTCTACAATTGAGTGAGGTTGATTGCATTCTTCAAGTTATGCAGTCATCCCTGCTATCCTTTTCCAAATCACTCCACCACCATGAACAGAAACTCACTGTCCCCTAAACAAAAGCTCCCTGCTGCCCTTCCTCCCACCCTGCTAACCACTAATAATCTTTGGTTTCTGTATATTTGCTTATTTCATATCAGTTGCATATCAGTGAGATCACACTATCTGCCCTTTTGCGGCTGACTGATTTCACTCAGCATGAAGTTCTCAAGGTTCCTCCACGGGGTGCACGCATCAGGACTTCACTTCTCTTTACGGCTAAGTAGTGTTCCATCGTGTGGATGGACCACACTGTGCGTTGATGGACATTTTGGTGGTTTCCACCTTTTGGTTCTTGTAAACAGTGCTGCCATGCGTGCTGGTGTCACAGCTTTCTGTTCGAGTTGCTGTTTTCACGTCTCTTGGATGTATACCTAAGAGTGGAATAGCTGGATCAGATAGTAGTTTGGGAGCCCTCGTGGTGCAGTGGTTAAGCACTCGGCTGCAAACTCAAAGGTCAGCAGTTTGAACCCACCTGCTCCTCCATGGGAGAAAGACCTGGTGCTTGCTTCTGTAAAGACTGACAGCCTTGGAAACCCAATGGTGCAGTTCCACTCTGTCCTCTAGGGGCGCTGTGAGTCAGAATCCACTCCACAGCAGTGGGTTTGGTTTGGGCTTTGCTTCTGTAAAGACTGACAGCCTTGGAAACCCAATGGTGCAGTTCCACTCTGTCCTCTAGGGGCGCTGTGAGTCAGAATCCACTCAGCAATGGGTTTAGTTTAACAGATTGTGGTAGTTCAAGGAGATGACATTTTGATTTAACAGTGTGGACTGGAGCTGAACTCCCTGGGTTCAGATCTCAGCTGTGCCACTTCAGCCTTTCAGCAAATATTTATTGAGCACCTATTACGTGCCAGGTCCTGTTCTGGAAGCTGGGGGTACAGCAGGGAGCAGAGGCTGCAGAGCTCCCTGCTGGTGGAGGGAAGTGAGCCATAAAGGAGATAAACAAGCCACCATCGGCCACTACTGAGTCACCTGGGTGACTGACTTTGCACCAGCTCCTTAACCCATCTGTGCCTCAGTCTGCTTGTATTAAAACAGGTTGCTTTTCAGGATTGTGAGGATTAATGCAGCTAATGAGTGTAAAGAAGTTACTATGTGTCAAGAGCTTAGAACTATGTCTGGCACAAAGAAAGGGCCAAAAGAGCATCACTTGTTGTTGATCATTAACTTCCTGGGTGATACTAATGGTTATGCATTTGAGGGAACAGCCCATGCAAAGGCCCTGGGGCAGGATGGTGGCTGGTGACTTGGAGGAACAGCCAGGAGGACCATGTGGCTGGAGCAGAGTGAGCAGAAGGGAGAGAGAAGGGAGGGCAGGGAAGGGACAGGGGGGGTGGGGAGGCTCTGGGAATCAGGCTTTTGCACAGGGGTCGGGGGGGGGGGCCCTGAAGGACTGTGGGAAGAGGAGGGACTGGGCCCTGACTCAGGTGCTCTGGGGAGCCCCCTGGCTGCAGTGGGGAAGACTCAGGCTTTTACCAGAGGGAGGAGGGAGCCCTGGAAGGCTGTGTGTGGGAAGAGGAGGGGCTGGGCTCTGACTCAGGTGCTTACAAGCGCCCTCTAGCTGCTGCAGGGGGAACAGGCTGTGGGGGGCGAGGGAGGGAGTCAAGGCCCAGGGCTGAGGTCTGCACCAGTCCCAGGCAGGCACGATGAGGCTGAACCAGGTGGAGGCAGAAGGGACATGGAAGAAATGTTCCCTGTTCACAGTATACCAGCCAATATCCTAATACTAATCCTTGCTCCAGGGCTTGCATTCCACCATGAGATTACGACAATTAAAAAAAAAAAAAAAAAAAAACTCACTGCCATCAAGTAGATTCTGACTCATATTGACCTCTTCTGGGTTTCCAAGGCAGTAAATCTTCACAGACGTAGATTGCCCAATCTTCCTTCTGTGGAGTGCCTGGTGTGTTTGAGCTGTCAACCTTCTGGTTAGCAGTCAAATGCCTTAGGCACTATGCCACCAGAGCTCCTTATTACAGACAATAAGCATGATTTATAAGAAAACGTATGTTTATCAGTTGTTGTTGTTGTTGTTATGTGCCGTGGAGTCGCCCCGACTCATAGCGACCCCTCCTTGGGTTTCCGAGGCAGTATCACTACGGAGGTAGGATTGCCCAACCTTCCTTCCGAGGAGTGGCTGGTGGGTTTGA